GTTATGTTTTTTTACCTGGAAAATGATCCACAACTTGAGCAAGTAGGTAGCTTACTTGATTTTATTTCATACCAGCTTCAATGAATTTTAATGCCATTTTAGATGCAAAACACTTTATGCAAATCTAGTTTGAATGATTATGTTGACCAAATTTTAAAATATGATGCAGGTTGCGGAGCTCATAGAAAACAATCTTGTTTTGATTGGCGCTACTGCCATAGAAGACAAACTTCAAGAGGGAGTGCCAAATTGCATAGAGACTCTTTCGAGAGCTGGAATCAAGATTTGGGTGCTAACAGGGGATAAAATAGAAACAGCCATAAATATTGCTTATGGTGAGTGTTTTATCAAAGATGGTATTTTATGATGTACTTTCCTTGAAGTTGTGTTCCTTGTAGTTTCCATGGTCTGTTTAGTTCTCTTTTTTATTTTTTTCTAAAAAACTTTTTGCAGCATGCAACCTAATGAACAATGAGATGAAACAGTTCATCATTAGTTCAGAAACTGATGCAATTAGAGAAGTTGAGGAGCGGGTAAGCAGCATTTACAGTAGTAGTTCTAGATGCTTGTGAGTTGGAATTCACTATCATACAGACTGTTGGTCAGGTATCTGATTATGGTTTCATGTCATATCTATTGTCAGGGAGACCAAGTAGAAATTGCACGCTTTATCAAGGAAGAAGTTAAAAAAGAGCTGAAGAAGTGCATTGATGAAGTACAGCAGTATTTTCACAATGTTTCTGGACCAAAATTAGCACTTGTCATAGATGGAAAGTGTTTGATGTATGCATTGGACCCAAGTTTACGAGTAATGCTGCTCACTTTGAGCTTGAACTGTGCTTCTGTTGTTTGCTGTCGGGTCTCCCCTTTACAGAAAGCACAGGTAGGTTATTGATAGTGACCCAACTCAAGTTATTATGAGCATTCTGAAGAGTGCCTGTGAGATGATACATTTAAATAGATATGTTTGGCTTCTTTCTTTCTATTAATGCAACATTTGATTCTGCTATAGCAAGTTGCTGGATAGCCTAGGATAAATGCTCAGGGGCTCTATGAAATATTCCTTCAAATGAAACAAAATTAGTGATGGCGGTTGCCTGATGGCCTTGGTTCCCTAAACTATAGTTAGAAATGTTCAATGTTATAGAACTCATATTTATAATGAAAAAGGACAGGGAGTGTTATGTTTCTTATTCATCTGTGTAGGTAACAAGTTTGGTTAAGAAAGGTGCACGGAAAATTACACTTAGCATTGGTGATGGTGCCAACGATGTTAGCATGATTCAGGCTGCTCATATTGGTGTTGGAATAAGTGGCCTTGAAGGGATGCAAGCTGTGATGGCTAGTGATTTTGCAATTGCTCAGTTTCGCTTCCTCAAGGACCTACTTCTTGTGCATGGACGTTGGTCTTATCTCAGAATATGCAAGGTCATCACACTCTTCTGTCTCCCTTTAAAACGTTATTTAGTTACATTTCTGGTTGCTTATATGCATGACATTTTCTTTTGCAGGTTGTGACGTATTTCTTCTACAAAAATCTTACCTTCACTTTGACACAATTTTGGTTCACATTTAATACTGGATTTTCTGGTCAAAGATTCTATGATGATTGGTTCCAGTCATTGTACAATGTCATTTTTACATCATTCCCTGTGATTATTCTTGGACTTTTTGATAAGGTAATACAGACTCTCCTTAACTTTTCTATTGCTGCTCTGAAACAGGCACTGGTAGTTTAGATTGTAAATTTTCTCATGAATGCTTTTGTTTGACATAACTATCTTCGAATGTGAAAATGCTCCCAGTGCTATTTTGAAACTCTTAACTAATGGAGAACTGCATTTGCCTTCCAGGATGTCAGTGCATCTCTTTCAAAAAGGTACCCTGAACTATACAAGGAAGGAATAAGAAATGTCTTTTTCAAATGGAGAGTTGTAGCAATATGGGCCTTCTTTGCTGTTTATCAATCCCTTGTCTTTTATCACTTTGTCACCACTTCCAGTTCTGCTGCTCAAAGTTCATCTGGCAAAACGTTTGGGCTCTGGGATGTCAGCACAATGGCCTTTACTTGTGTTGTAGTAACAGTCAACTTGCGTCTTCTCATGATGTGTAACTCAATTACAAGATGGCATTATATTGGTGTTGGAGGAAGCATTGTAGCATGGTTCTTGTTTATTTTCTTATATTCGGGTCTTATGACTAAACATGATCGACAGGTAAAAATTGTTGTGTTTCAGTTTTCTCTCTCTCATTTGGATTAGGGGTGGTGACTATCCACTTTCACTGTTCTCACCCTTGAACTTCTACTGGCTACTGCAGGAGAATATCTATTGGGTCATATATATCTTAATGAGTACAGCGTACTTCTATGTCACTCTTCTTCTCGTTCCTGTTGCTGCACTTCTTGGTGACTTCATTTACCAAGGGTAAGGATTCCTCTGCTTTAGCATTTTGACGCATGGCAACTTGGTTAGGGCAACCCAGCTTAGTTTTATCCCCTACCTAAGGTCAATCAAATATAAGCTCCTTAAGCCTGAAATTAGCGGAGAAGCTATTCCATATTCCTCTCTTTAGCAAGGTCAGGCAGGGCAGGCTTAATTGGAGCACTAATTATCTTAGTAACTAAGTAGTAGGAATAATTGAGAGGAATGGAGGAAATAGCATTTGAAGCATCCATCCTTGTGCATTTGCAAATTGCAAATATTGTTATGTAGCTTTATGATGAAAAATATTAATTTGTTGGATAACATTCTTTGCATTCTTCATTAAGATATTCTTTAAATCTTGAGTGCTTTTGTATTGTATTTTAACTTTATTTTTTTCCCTTATTCAGGGTTCAAAGATGGTTCTTCCCCTATGATTATCAGATTGTTCAGGAAATTCACAGTCATGAACCCGATGATAGCAGAACAGAGTTATTGGAAATTGGAAACCAGCTTACGCCCGAGGAAGCAAGAAGCTATGCCATATCTCAACTCCCACGGGAGTTATCAAAACACACTGGTTTTGCATTTGATTCACCTGGGTATGAATCATTTTTTGCTTCACAGCTAGGTATAAAAGCACCGCAGAAGGCATGGGATGTTGCCCGAAGAGCCTGCGCAAGGTCAAAGCCAAAGGTATCCAAAAAGGAAAAGCGTTGACAGAAATGAAATTCAGTGTACAAATGTTATTTTTTACTCCCCATTTTTTATTGTACAACATTTAGAGCGAGCGAGGAAGAGATGTAGAATTAGCTATTTTTGCTTTGTTATGTTTTTCTTTGAATTTTGGTTCCACCTCGGAGCTTCCTTTCCTCGACTCGGAGAGAGTTCCAGGCTTCTACAGATGTACAGGTAGGTATAACATGATTCTTTAGACTTATATATCTTAAATTCATTTTCCAATCTTAAGCTCTCAAGCTGTTTGGCAATCTTGAATAAGCCATTGATGGCCATTCATCTGGAGACGATTCCACTATCCAGCCTTCATGGTTTTTCTTAAAGGGGAACCTCAACACCACCTTAAACAGAGTGGGGTAACTTTGCGAGTCATTCAGATACAGACTTTGTTCTTGATGGCAAAAAATAAAAATAATAAAAACTTAGAAAATGCAAAAAATAAAAATAAAAATTCAGATACAAACTGTTGGATTTCACTTTGCGATTCTCATCTCCCCACATAACCCTCAAAGATTATATTGAAACCAATAGGAGACATTGCTGTCATCTGAAATTTTTTCTTTTTTCGGTGCGTGAAGAGCGAATTTTAAATGTATGATTAAAAATATAAATAATTTTACTGAAAGACCTTACGACTGATCCAAAGAGATGGGATTTTTCAGAAAAAGAGAGCTTCCATATGCTCTTGTGGACGTCAAAGTTATATTCAATCCGATTGAATTTTCTTCCCTCCATTCTTTACCATTTCTCCCTGCCGTCACCTGAATCTTACAACCATCTTTCAAACTAGAAACTAACAATGATATGCAGGATATTAAAACACAAGTGAATATGATGTCCATTAAAGTCAAAGTGGTGCTGAATATGAATACTACCGTTCAGGATCTTTTCTTGCATGTCAGGTACTACATTCAAGTTATATCTAGAAATAATGATGGTCGGTGGGCGGAGGTAGAAATTATTCTTTGCCATCTTTAATAACCAATCCTAGATAAAACCTGCTGCATGGATAAGTACAAGCAGCTCGACAGCAAGCACCATAACTAAATCCACTACATAGATTCATGATTCTGATAAGTGGCGTAGCTAGAAATTTTTTTTTAAGGGGGGCCAAAATTAGATTTTGACAAATATATATATATATATACAAAAAACTGTCTGTCCTGTAATGGACTGTAACATCAAGACCTTTAATAGGAGAAGGAAAAGGCCCAATATCAGGAAGCCCTCCCTCTTTGAATGGTAATAATGGTTACAGTCCGTTACAGGGCAAACAATTTTTTGTATATATATATATATAAATGCTTGTATGTTATTTAAAAAGTCAATGAAAATAATTTTTTTTAAAACAAGAAATTATTCTTAATAAAATTTATTAATCCTTACAATACACTAACTATATTGATAATATAGTAAAATGCTATACATTAAAGGAAAACAACGAACATATACAGTATAGCAATACATAAATAATTTTTTTTAAAATAAAAGTACATTTTTGAATAAACACTTAAAGGATGATACCAAACCATATTTCATCAATAATATTTGTTTTCCTTCACCGTTCATATTATTTTTATTTTTTTCATCTTTCTCATCATTATCAAAAATAATCTTCAATAGTTGAAATACTTTAAAATATTTAAAAGAGTATAGACTATAAATAAAAATAAAAACAATAAATATAAAACATGGTAGACAAAATTGGCTTAGGTAATGTCCAACGGCTCTTTATTAAGGAAAATTGTTTTTTTAAGCTCATTAATTTTACTTGTAATTTTAACCATTTATAATTTTTTTCTTAAATATTTAATTATAATATTTAAAAATATTTATTTATAAATTAATTTTAATTTATTAAATAATAAATATTAATTATCCTATCAATTAGAAACTATTTTTAATAGTTCTAATAGTCCTAACAAAAATAATGGTGGCCACAACAATGGCCACTAAATTAATAGTTCTACCAAAGTTTGGGGGGGCCTGTGCACCCTCAGGCCCCACCTTAGCTCCGCCACTGTTCTGATCACCGTCTTCCAGAGAGTGGAAAAAGTTTGCTAGTCTTTGTGACACAGACTGCTGGCTTTCCTTCAGTGGTTCTTCATTTCCCTCATAATCATCATCGTCGTCGAAAACTAGATAAATCCCAGCTTTCTTCAGCTCTACCCCTTGAGCGGTGGGTGAGTTTTGCTTTGTCAAATGAATCTTGATACCGTCTTTCAAGCCCAAAATTAATGGATGCCATGCTGGATATCGACACAAGTAGAGATTATCTCCATTCGTTTTTGGTACTCCCTTCAAGTTTAATACGCTTCTGAACGTGTAATCTTCACCTCTGAGGAACTCCACTTGAACATGAGGGACTGTAGTTAGATCTCTCAAGTTATCTGGAAAATGATGGTTAAGGGAGACAATGACAGCCAGAATCACACCTTTGATCTCACGGTTTTTGGGGCTTGAGAAGATAACTTCGTCCTGGAAAAACCAATCTGGGATACTGCTTCCAGGCATACTTAGATTGCGCATATTCTTCAGAAAACCCTGCAACCATGGAGAACGTTGAAGGTTATCAATTTTTTATAAACTTGGTGCAGGCATATGAGTATACCAGAGAATGAAGAGAGAGAACCTTGGAAAAGCTTTTCCTGACTGCTGAGGAGCAGGCTTTGCAGTCACTCATGAACAGCCTTCTTAAGGATTCCGAGGATTCGAGGCCTAGAATATCAATCACTTTCTCACAGTTTGTAAGGTTTAGTTCCTGTAATTTCCTTAAATCTGAAAGATCAACTATACTTTCCAATGAAACACAGTTACAGAGATTCAACTCTTCCAAACTTGAAGGAAGTGGAGGGAGAGACTCAAGCTTTCTGCAGTCACTCAAAAGAAGCTTTTTGAGATGGGAAACTCCCCCTAGGCTGGTTGGAAGGTGAGAAAAATTGGTTCTTCCTAGATTCAGAATCTCTAATGAACACAGTTTCTCAAAATCATCAGGAATTTTGCCAGACAGTCTCCATGCACTAGCATCAAGGTCCCGAAGTAAGGAGAGGTTTGAGAATGATGTTGGGAGGACAACTGATATTGGCTTCCCTTTTGTGCTGAGATTTGCGGCATCTTCTCGGCAATTGTTTCTTTGCAGGCTAGTGAGTGGCCTCTTTGCCATTTTCAATACCATTAAATTTGAGAGCATCCCGAAGTTGTCTGGTAATTCTGTTACTGCAGTTTTTTCCATCCACAGATGATGCAAGGATTTCAAATTTCCAATTGAAGCTGGAAGTTTACAGAGCCTTTCACATTCATTCAGTCTTAAAATGGTAAGATTTTCTAACCTCCCAATGGACTCAGGCAGCTCAGTAATATTGGCTTTGAAAATTGTCAGATTAGAAAGACCCAACAAGTTCCCAATTGATTCTGGGAGTAATGTAAGGGGACATTTCCTCATTGTAAGCTTCTGAAGTGATTTCAAGTCACCAATCTGATCCGGAAGATATGTAATTGGTGTCCCATCTAACTGAAGCTCCACAACATTAACCAATCCGTTAATTGAATCTGGCAATTTATTCACTAAACTGCACTTTCCAATTGATAAGTCCTTTAGATATGAGATCTTGCCAATGGAAGATGGTAATTCTTCAATGGCTTCACCACTAATTAACAGATTTACCAATAACTTGAGATTGCCCACAGTATCTGGAATTGTGGTCAGTGATTCACACCGCCACAAGCTAAGTATCTCCAGGTTCACCAAAGATCCAGCAGATTCAGGCAGCTCTTTCAAAACACAACCATTAAGATAGAGTTCTTTAAGGGAACTTAGATTTCCTATATACTTGGGTAACTCTTCTAACGATCTGCAACCAGTTAGGCTAAGCTTTTCAAGTTTTGAAAGGCGGTAAACAGATTCAGGTAGCTTTTCTATGGCAGTATTATCTAACAAGAGTTCTTTTAAAGATCTCATACTGCCAAGGCCCTCTGGTAATGCCTTTAGTTTGGAGCAACCAGAGAGGATAAGGGTTTGAAGACTTTTCAACCCAGAGACATCACTCGGTAATTCAACAAGGCTTGAGCAGTCTCTCATGTTCAAGTGAAGCAAAGATCTTATACTACCAACTGATTCATGAATTCTGATCAGTCTCCCACAGTTCTCAAGGACAAGCTTTTCAAGGGCTTGATACCCAGATAAATCAGGAACAGTAGCTAGATTATAGCAGCCATCCAGATTCATGACCATCAAGTTGTGAGCCGGCTACAAAATTAAAAATAAAGAAATATAAGCATAAAAACTTGAAGAACTTGAGTAAGCTTTGATGAACTTTAAAATAAAACACTGCAGGCTTTATAATCAAGAGAAGTCAGCCTAGAAATCTTAGCAATCATAGTCAAAACAATGGTATTAATGATGGTAATTAAGTAAATGACATGATGGTGGTGACTAAAGTAGCTATAGTGCTGATACATGGAGCATACCAAGTTAGAATGAGAACCCCAGAGACAGTTAATTTTGCTATCTGAGAGATCGAGGACAGCCAGCTTCTGGGGACAAAAATCAGAACCAAGATCTTTCAAAGTGCATCCATGCCACTGCAGCCATCTCAGTTCAGCAGGAAGACATTTGAACTTCCCCTCCAATTTTGAATTATTGATTTCAAGTAATCTTAGGCTAACCATCTGTTTGAAGGGTTCAGTGCAGAGTACCACATCTTCCTCATTGTCTGGGTCCATAACAAACTTCCTTCTGATATCCAGAATGATACCCTGAATGTCTCTTGTTCCCTATAGTAAATTATTTGGAGGTTAATTAAAAGCAGAAACAAAACCAAGAAATATTACCCATTTGCTGGATCCCTAGCAAATTACAAATATGCCTGATAGTTAGATACCGACCCCCTCACCTTATTTCTACTCATAAATATGTCAAAAATGCATGGACACTTAGGCATGCAAAGAAGAACAAGTTTCACAAACCAGTAAGGGCTTTAGTTCATGATGCGTAATCTGGGGTAAGTTTCTGAAGCAAGTGAAGATTAAATACCTCTACTTTTTGCCACTCACAAGGGGGGAAAAAAAAAGGGAAAAAAAAAGGGCATCTTAGCCATTTGAAATATGCCCTTATACATCATCAGGATGAATATTGGGCTAGCACATGCCCTGCTAATAGAGATATAATTATTTGAACCTGTTATTTCTCTGTTATTGCTATTTAGGCTTCGGTAATAGCCTTGATAACAAAAGAAAGTTGATTCCAGACTAATGATCTAACAGCTGAAAAGTTGAAGACGAAATATATGAATTGTAAAGTGCTTTAATCCATACCTTATTATTCTTTAAGACACTCATGATTTCCTCGCAATCCCACAGTCTGCTACGCTTTCCAGGATCGGTAAGGTTCTCTTCTTGAACAATCTGTCGTCCCATGTCCCTAAGTTGATCGTGCATCCACAAAATATCATCTGCAGAAATCTTAATAAGAGATTTTCTAGTAAGGACTGTGATTGCTATCTTAGCTTTAAATCCACATCCTCTCAATATATCTATTGCATCTTCTCTTTTCATTTCCAATTTGACAAAAAAGCAGGCAATGTCAAGGAATATACACTGCTCCTCTTTATCTAGCCCATCAAAGCTTATTTTCAATACTTCCTGAAGATTCTGAGGACGGATCTGTCCTAACTTCTTTAGAGAATCTTCCCATTCTGTTAGTGTCCTCTTATCAAACAAAAATGAACCAAATACTTCAAGAGCCAAAGGTAACCGTCCAGTGAGAGACACAATTTGCTTAGACAGATTCAAAAACTCGTCGGTAGGTTTCTCTCTACCAAGTGCATGGTAACTGAAAAGTTCCAGTGCCTCATCAGGGGACAACTCTCTGACCTCATAAATCTGATTCACATAATTTTCATGTAAGAGCTCTTTATCTCTTGTTGTAATAATAATTCGACTTCCTCCAGAATAATACGCTATTTCTGCACTGAGTGCATTAAGTTGACTTATGTCACCAACATCATCTAGCACAACTAGAACTTTATTCTCTCCAATAATCCCTCTGATTGCTTGTTTATTAGCATTAACTGAATTTGCAGGCCGCGCAATTCTATTGGAACCATCACGATCAAGATTGGTCTGAAGGTCATCTATAAGTTTTCTCTGAAGAGATAGTAAGCCATCAACCGTTGCTGAATGTTCTCTTACATTTGAAATGAAGCTACGACACTCAAACTCATGTCCAAGCAGTTTATTATAGAGAGCCTTAGCAAGGGTCGTCTTACCAATCCCACCCATTCCATGAAGCCCTAGAACCTCAACACTGTTGGATCTAACATTTAACAACCTCATGAGTTCTTCCACACGAGAATCAAGTCCAACTGCATGCCTAGCTACATTCATTGGAGTATTGCTTAGTCGTTTCAGAACCTCTTTCACTAAAACTCGAATCAATTCCTTTTCATCACTGATACATGAGAAAGAATGTGATCAAGACATCAACTTGCATAAAGACAATTGGAAGACAATGTGCATCATCATCCTTCTAGATGACAAATAACACAGCCTAAAACAGAACAACTAGCTGTAAAGTGTAAGGAGGAAAAAAAAAATCACAGCATATGAGATAAATGAATCCTCGGACCAAGTTCAATCTTAATAGTTAAGCCTCTTTTCAACCAAAAAAATCTGCATTTTAGCCTCAACAACTCCAATGACTTCCTTGTGACCCATCATGGCGAATGATAAGTCCACGAGTGGACCTAGTCAGGAAGAAACCTTAGACTATTTTCTAAATCAGCCAGTTCATAAATGTAAGATGACATCAAGAGAAAGCAACAATTAATTATCAATCATTTAACACAAGTACTATAAAATGAAGCAAGAGATGGAAACAAGTCTTATATTTAATACTGCCCACATGCAGCACTGAGATATGGTTGATTTGTTTGTCTGAATCTGTGATTCTGTGCAAGTCAACAATATTAAATTATTATTGCAAAATAACCAACTAAAATTAAACCAATTTGATTTAGTTATTTAAAACAGAAAACCCATGTCTGGAACTCAATCTACTCAAACATCCAGAAATTTGCAGTGAAAAATCTGTCAGTTTCCCAATTGCAAGATCCAGGGCATGATGAGATGGAGAAATGGATACTTTGAAACTTCAAATTAACAGTAATTAGCAATACTATGATCTGAATTGTGCATAAAATTAATAGTAAGAACTCTATAAACGTCAGAAATCCAAAGTTTCAAGCGTCACCTTTCAGTTTCACCATTGAAAACCCAACCAGCAGTATCGGCAACTTTTCGTACGGCTTTCCTCCATCTGAGTACCTTCTCCATTTCATCTACATACCTTTCTTCATGCCTCCGAAAAGCCACCAGGAAGGACCCTCGCTGATGCCGAACGTCAGATGGGTCAACACCGTAAAAAACGGGCAGGATCAATCTTTTCAACTCGCAGATCCTGGCGAGTTCTTCAAGACACCAACGTGAGGAGGCGTAGTCAGGGGAGATGATGACAATGGAAGCAGCAGAGTCTTCAATAGCTTGGTGACCACTTGGGGAGATCTCTTCTCCTCGTCTCAAACCGTCGTCGTCCATAAAGACCCGGACCCCATGTGACTGAAGCTCATGGTAGAGGTTCTTGGTGATGCCATGGCGAGTGTCTTCACCTCTAAAACTGAGGAACACATCCCACCGGAGCCTGAAAGGCTCAGAAGCCGATGATGGATTTCCGTCATTCAACATTTCTAAAGCTTTATCTGTACTGTTTGCCTTTTTCAGTGGGAGGAATAAGAAATTGTATGATTCAAGGAATGTACCACTGCGTTGGTCGGTGAGGCTGTACATGTATAATGACTCATGAGTCGAGTCGACAAGCCACCTTCACGAGTAATACTCACGTTAACGTACACTATTTCTCACGGGTGTTATGGTCACATTTTTAATTAATAATAATATTTTTTATTTTAATTTATTATATTTTTAATTTATTAAAAAATATAAATATAAAATTTTAAAATAAAATAAAATATAAAAATATAATAAATAATTATATTAAAACACATAATATTAATAATTTAAAATATGAAAATAACCCACCTTACAATGCGTTAGTGATTGAGATTTATTTTGTTTTTATTCAAAGAAGAAGTGTCATTTATATTATAAATACATAAACAGGTCTACGGTCAGACTATCTGAGAATGTGGTTTGGTAAATATATATCATTTTCATTCTTTTTTCCAGAAGCAATGCATCATATGCATGGGTTGACATGTTTTAGAACATTGATGTAATTAGGGGAAAGTTGACGCAATTTTGATTAACATGACCGATAAATACTGTTTCTAATCCTTAAATGATATGATTCGGGAAATTAAACGCATCATATATAATCATAATTAATAATTCTAGAAGATTTAATACATCATAGTTATTAAGTTTTGAAATGCATGGTAAAAGATTGGTTACCATTTCTTATTGATTTTTTAAAAAAAATTAAATATTATATATTATTAAAAAAATAGCAACCATATACAACTTTAAAAGAGAAGTTATCTTATAACACTAATTAAAAAATTTATTTTCTTACAAATAATTCAATTAAGTATAAAAAATCCAAATACAACTAAAGATTATAGCAGAGCTATTAAAGTAATAAAAGTTACTCTATTGACCATCTTTTAACTATTAAATCATTGTATTAATCATTTTTTGTTTTGAATAAAAAGAATTCGATTTTTTTTAAATATAATTTTAAATTTAAATCTTATAAATGAAGAAATAGGTATTCAAATAAATTCTCTCTTAATGAGATCTGACACAAATTAATTCTAAATTAATCAAAATTTAATGTGATTATCAAATATTAAAAAATTAATAAAAAAAAAAAAAAACCTATTAAATCACCACACTGTTATGCGAGATTCAAGGGGGAGCAAAATTTTACACCAATTTCACTTCCTTTCTCATTGAAAACCCAACTATAAGTCTAATTAACCTTGGACTAGGGCTGCTGACTTGCTGCCATATTCTCTATAGCTGCACCTTTGATGTCCAGCAACACTCTTGAAGCCTGTTCATCTTTTAGGTTCCCTCCTTCACGCTAACCCTTTTTTTTTTTTCGAACAGTACGCTTACCCATATTTATAATTTGATTTTTTAATGTAATTTTAAGTAATACTTTTATATATTCATAATGATTTATTATTATATGTAATTTTAGTTAAGTGATTTTATTTGATAAAAAATTTATTTTCCTTCATTTCTAAGTATATATACATAAAATAAAATAAAAATCTTAAGTTGAAATTATAAAGGTGATGCAGGATTTCTCGCGATCAAAACATCTATAAAATCTTCAGCTTCATTAACTGTGTGAAGCTGGCAATTTATGTTAAAAATCAAATTTCAAATTGCTATCTTAAAAAAATTGATGTTGGTAATTTATGATAGGAAAATTATCCAAATACAATTTTTTATATTATTTTTTTATATAATCTTACAAGTTTTTTTAAAACATATTTTTATATTTTTTATTTGTTTTAAATAAATTTAATTTATTTTAAAAATTTTAAGTATACATTTTAAATAAAAATTTAATAATTTATATAAACAATAATTAAAATATTTTTCTTATTATATAAAGTTTTTATTGGGTACTTTAATTTGATAAAAAAATTTAATTATAATTTATATAATGTGTTAAATTTTTATTTTAAATTCATATCTAAAAATTAAATTAAATTTATTAAATATAAATATTATCAAAA